GCACATGGTTAGTGGACCGTGCAGAAGCAGATAAAAACAGTCGTACAGTCGTATTAAACAAAGACAAAAATTTCCACAAAAAGTTTCACGGAGAGAAACATTATTTCTGGCTCACCTGTTAATCGATCGAAATTCTTCAATGCTTCCTTTTCCTGCTCTTCGAGATAATGCACAGTTCCTCAATTTTCGTATTATACTAATACATGAATTATAACTGTTTTCCATTTGAAGTGACTATTTAAAAGAGCTTAATGCTTGTTCATATTTGCCTTACCTTAGTGGAAAAGTTCCTATACTATCGCATGCCATAACGGGAGAAGGATGATCTCATTGAAAAGAATTAAGCTGTATTATTTTAAGTACTTTTTCATAGTAATTTAGTGATTCGTCATGTTTTCCTTCCATCGTAATTAAAAGCAATGACTTTTTCCTCTCTTCGAATAAGTTGAGACTGATGTCCCTGGATAAGCTGCGGAATCGGATTAACGTTTTTTATCGTAGTCGGACCATTTGAAAACTGTTAGTGCGCTGCTTGAAACTAGTAAGAAACACTCAGGAGAACGAAAATTGCTCGCTATGTAAATTGCTCGACCTTTTTTAATCATTTTCAAGAAGAGAATGATACCTGATGCTTGACCACCCAATCAAAAATTCCTTTGATTTTGATCAATTAAGATGCTTCCTTTTGAAAAGGATCAAACACTGTCACAAGTTGCTCTATTGATATTAGTAATGATGATCCTTTTTTTTGGATCAATCAAATTGGTTTTTTCAAAAGGGATCGATTCGAGTCAATCTTCTTCAATCAATTTTCATGATTGATCACTTTTAATATATATAATATGCATGTGTGTATCTGTACATAGAAACTAATCAAGTAGTTACAATATAATGCATAATAATATTTATAAAATAATAATTAACTACTTCAGGATCAAATCTAAGATGTTAGAAAGAAAATCATCTCGTATCCATTCCTGGACTTTTAGAATTCAACCTGCTCCTCATTTTAAACCTTACTTATGCTATCCGTGGAAAGCATTCGAACAATTTTCATAGTGAGCAATTTACATGGCGTGCAAATTACATTCGAGCAATAGACCCGAAACACTCGCCTCTCCCAAAAGTTTCTAGAAAACCTCTCAAAAATCAAAGAACTTTCTACTGATTTTTGAAACTGTGGTTGAGCTCCAGAAGTATATTTTGATAGTCTGAAGTAGTTTCGATCGTTTTTTACTGAGTTATGAATTTTCTAATTTTCGGTGAAAATAGCCAAAAATGGGTTATTTCGTCTCGCACAGGTTTTCGCTAGGTTTTTGAAGTTTTTTCGAAAAATAAATATTGCCTCAAGACTCAGCTTAGTCTACAACCTATGTTTCCATGCGTGTTTGAGACTGTCAAAAGCCATGGAAAACTCACTTTCTCAAAAATATTTCCCTTATGAAAAGATGCTCCAAAGTATCCTCTTTCGAATGGCGAAAACCACAGTTCTCTATCCAAAGCTATTCAAAAAATGACAGAGGCCATTCTTCTTTTTTTTTACTGACCATAATTGTTTTCTGTTCTCTATATTAGTGTTTAAACTGTCAATTAGCATTATTTCATTCATCAAGAAGTAATTTCTACAAACATGGATGATAGCACAGATGGATCTGAAGCATCTAATCCCCTATTACAAGATGAAATAATGATTTCTCACTAACACAAGAAGATAACATTGAATTTGATTATATAATAGTAAGCAGTGGAAGTGCCGACTGTGTTTTAGCTGATCGTTTAAGTGAAGATAATTCTAAGCAAGTGTTATTAATGGAAGCTGGCGGAGTTGATACAAGAGACGAAATACATATGCCATTGGGATAGGATGTGTAAACATATTTAGATGTGTGCGTCATTTCTGTTCGAGCGTTTATTTTAGCAGTAATTGTCAACGAACAGATTTTGATTGGCAATATAAAGCCATACAACAAAAATTGATGATAATAGTCAAAGTAGATGGCCACGCGGTAAAGTATTAGGTGGTAGCAGTAGTATCAAGTATATGCTATACACGCGCGGTGATAAACATGGCTATGGACGTATAATTTTTTGGTTGGAGTTATCAAGATATGTTATCATATTTTAAGAAATTAGAATGTGCAGACGACAGCATACCGAACAGTTCCTAATGTAATCATGATCGTAATACACGTGGTATGCTGGATGTTACAAAACTATCAGATTGTAATCCAGCAGATGCATTATACAACTTTTGTTGAAAAAAAGAAAGATGATATGAAGTCCATAGCGCAAAATGCTCTCTGCACTCGAATCTTTTCAGTTAAAAAGAAAAGAACGTTCGATTCAATTCTCTATGAGTGTGTGAAGCAGTTGGAAGTTTCCAAGTAATTATATGATCACACTTCTGCTTATATAAAGTGCCGGATTGACTTATTTGTGTAGTAGGTGGTTTTGCGACCCACCTTTTCGCTTCATGTTTTCTTCTCTGTGTCTCAATGAAACCAGCATTTTATGGTGATCTTAACTAATTTCGATACCAAATATACAGTTTGATAGAGAATTAAATTCCTCTTTGTTCGTCTATTCTACTTCCCTCTTTCGAAGACTGTAAATCTAATTCAATGTTGCTTACTTTTAGATTTAATAACAATATTGTATTATTATTGTTATTAATCTCCACACCTTATTTTCAAAAGCATCGAACTATTCTCTAACATAGAATTAGTTTCACTGTCGGAATGTTATTATCATTTTCTGATTGTTTACTCAATATTTGAATCAATTTTCTTTGAATCTGCAATCTAGCTTGTTTATTTCTGCGATTTGTCCGCAGCTAATACCCTAGACAAAAAATATTTGTTCTACGATCCTTCAGTGGTTTTATAAAGAGCGGATAAAAAAAAACGATATATTGGGTACGATATCTAGTCGCTAGCTACCATACTCGATATAGCTAGCTAACTCAATAAAAGTGGTACGGATAGCTAGCTATACAAGTCAATATGGCCCGATAATATATCTTTATAGCTAGATATTCTCAAAGACATTTTTTTGCTTGGCTAGCAGCAGTGCAGGACACTGAGTTTGAAACTGTTTTTGTTGACACCGCAAACATAGATGGAAGATTAAAGCATTTTCGTAAAAATTGGCGAAACTATCACTAGCAATGACTGGATTTTAAGCACAGTAAAGGTCTATCGATTTTGTTACAAAACTAGCACCGTGCCGTGATTGACTTGTAAACAACCTGCTTTCTCAGAGAACGAAACAGAGGCCCTTGAAAGTGAAATACCCAGCACTAAAGAAGACGGCTGTAGTTTTGGCAGAACCGAGCCCAGATCAATTTGTTAGTCACCTTTTTACTCGTCCTAAAAAAGACGGCGAAGTTTGCCCTGTTTTGAATCTTAAAAAGCTAAATGAAAACATTCAATATGAACATTTTAAAATGGAGACTATGTCAGATGCGAAATATATTATTCAAAAAGATGATTTATGGTTAAGATAAATTTCAAAGATGCTTATTTGACTGTGTCATTGAATATCGACGACACAAGATATTTGGCATTTGAATTTGCTGAAATTTTATTTGAATTTTCATTTGAATTTTATAAATTTATCTGTCTGCCTTTCCGACTTGCACCCGCACTGTGGGGTTTTACTAAGCTACTCAAATCGTTCGTTACATTAGTGCGAACGCTTGGAATTCGTCTTGTTATTTATTTGGACTATGTAATAATATTTAACCAGACCATAAAAGGACTTATTCAAGACCGCAACACAGTAATTTTTATTTTACATTCACGTAGTTTTGTTATAAACTTTCGTAAATCTATATTAGAACCAACTAAAAGTATTGATTATTTGGGATTTAATCTTGACTCTGCGAAAATGATCCTCTTTTCGGCCTGAGTACAAAATCAATAACGTTAAGTCGCTTTGCAAACAGCTAATCCATTCAAAGCAAGTATCACTTAGAGAATTAGCTAAAGTTATCGGTCTGCTTTCTGATACAGTTCAAGCTATCGCACCGGTCTTATCTCAAGATCTTATTTAATTTCGCGTGTTTTAGCGAAATTACGGAAGGTCCGAACGATTGTGTTTCGGTTGTAGACGTCGGCAAATGTAACCTTTACCGTGGTTCCATCTCCGTCTTTTTTATGATTTTTTAAACGTTCTACTGTGCCAATGTCAAATCCTGACGATTTAAGCGCTGCTTCGATTTCTTGTATTGAAATCTCTACGTCGACATTCTTTAAGAATGCCTGCTTGTCTGTTCAAATCACTTTTTCTATGAATCTTGGTATGTATACTTTGACGTTGTTGGAATTGTCGAATTTATGTTTTGCTAAATCTAACAGTGTCTTATTGTAGTTGTAAACATCACAAGTGAACATTGTTAGTGTACCATTTCTATTTGATTGTATATCCATCAGTTTTACATCGGACATTTTAGTTTTAATGAAGTTATTTAGTGCACATCTTGTCATCTTCACACCTTGTAATATTAATGGTGCTAATCGCGAACTGACTTTTGTTGTCTGCTGACTTTGCTGCTGTTGTTGACGAAATTGCTTCTTGCTTTGTTTTTCGACTCTGTATCATTCTGAATTGTTGTTTTTCGTTTCAGTTGATTCGTTCCTCCGTCCGGAGGCTTATCCTCTCCCCCATTCCCGATATTATTGTGGCGAAAATAGCTCAGGTTATATTGAATTATTATTATTATCTAGTTATTATTATTATCTCAAAGGAAAAACGATAGAGTTATCTTGACCTTTTTTAGGATGTTCTCTTGTTTTAGGAAAACACTATTCTCATTCAAGAAGAAAAGTTCAATAACAAGCGAATTCAGAAAGATATAACGCTCAAATTTTCTGCAATGTCAGCAGACTATTACAAACCATTTCTGCTGTTAAAATCTTTCCCAAATGTTCACGATTTTTTATAATTAACTCATAGAATTTTACCATTATTTTACTTCGTTCTTTTCCTGTTTTAACTGACTATTGTTTATGAAAAGCTTTTGACGCTGCGTCTTGAACAGCTAATTCAGCATCATTTTGATTATAATTTGGTACGCTGCCAGTTTCTTTTCCATTTGCCGGATTATAAACCTAAAGTTTTTTTTTGGCATAAATATTAGAAACAACAAACATGAAAAACAGCGCACCTTAAATGTTTCACCTGATTGGGTTGAAACTCATTTACCTCCAATATACGATTGAGTAAAAAATGTTCGTTTAGATGTTACAAGAGAAGAATGTCGTACAACGATAAATAATGAACGCATTATCTGAAAATAGTTTATATATTGAAGAAAAAAAACCGTCAATTTTCTATTTTATCTGCAGTAATAATATATACACAAGAGAATTATAACAATAATAACAACAACAAAAGAAAAAGATTTTACATATAACACGACAACAAGTTATCAATAGATTCTTGTTCAATATATTTTTCGTTTGTTTTTAATACAGAATGATAATTTTTAACATCATTATTATGAACATTTATCTTTTTGTCTGACTGATGACATGTCGTACATATCTTTACAATTTTAAGAAGATTATCATCATTTTCAATTCGACGTTTTTTACAATCTAGAAACAATAAAATTTAAATTAAAAAAAAACACAATCAGTTTCGTTTTCTTCAAATGTATAAATTTAGAAAGTTGTATGTTTCTTATCTATTGTCAGCGGGAATAATTGAACGTCTACTTACAAAAATTTGAGCTCTTTGTAGAGATTTTCGATGTCACAATTTGATCATGACTTGATGATAATTGAGATATTTGAGAAATCCAACCATAATTTGATATTTCACTCCAAACATAAGGTTTACATGTACAAATAAATATATTTTGAATTAGATCTACAAACACGCTTTCATCCTATCACAAAAAAGATTCAACAAAAAAATGTGCGCTAAATAACTTCATTAAAACTAAAATGTCCGATGTAAAACTGATGGATATACAATCAAATAGAAATGGTACACTAACAATGTTCACTTGTGATGTTTACAACTACAATAA